TCTTGGGAAACTCCTCAGTAATGGACGATATCCTCATCAATTTCCCAAAATGGAGTTGCAATTCTTGTTGTGGTAGTTGGACTTGGATAATGAAGATCCAGTTTTGTTTGGATAATCAAACTCCTTGAATTTCACCTGGATTTGGTACTCGATGATAAACCCTAGCTTCTAGTTCTCGAACTTTTTATAGAGGTGAACTTAGCCTCTTGCTTGTAGCTCAACTGACTAATGTTCTTGTCCATTAATTGTTCAGCCCTGTAATTTTCAGTGTAATGGTTGGAGATTCCACCATATTCATCATTGTACGAAGATCGAGCTTTACTCTGAACTTCTCTGGACTCATTGAGCTTTGATTTGCTCAGAGGCATCACTTTAAGATAGCCAATCGTGTCACTGCATGCATACGCAGGCTGCTTCGTATCTTTCTTCTTCATCATTTTGTTGATTAAGAGGTTTTATGTTTAATTTTTGAACTTTGAAACAGTTCTCACAAAGTATTGGGAATTACGAAATGTCTTTGGCCTTGTCAAATCTTATAAGCAGTTCTTAACTATTCTTGAGCTTAGACCTATTTCCTTTTGGCTAAGAAATCAGTTGACCTTACTATGATGATTTACCAAATAATCAGAAACAGTGACTTCTATTTCTACATCTTTACCTTCCTTCGCTTGTTTGTTTCTCAATGTGAAATGGATCATGCTGAAACATTATACGGAGGGTGTAAAAAAAAAAAACGTTTGTTCTCGGCATGGTTCCTGGTTCAAATCTCAATATCTTGTACTCTAGATTTTAATGGACTTGTTTTAACCCTTAAATTCTTGAGTGTTCTTTCAGCCTTCTCGACATGACTTTTCACTCAATCAGTGAGAAATTCACGATCAATCTTTTTGGCGAAAGTGTGCACCCAGTTCATGTCGATTCGTACAGGAACGTTAGGAGCATAATCTTTTGACAAGCTTACCAGACTTACCAGAAAGAGTTCCTCGTGGGTGTGAAGTTTGAGTTGTCTTTTGGTAAGATACTGGTGAAGATTATGGTGCAGATGATTAGCAGATTGCATCACTATCTTCACGCTGAATTGAATGGTCACCACTCATTATCTTGCTACAATTCATAACCATCATATCTTACTCTGGTAGACCTTTTCGATGATGTGATGTGTTTGCCTCAATGCAGCTTTACACTACCTCTCACCAGGATCTTTCGATTCAAGAGCACGTGGGCGTGAGGTTTGAGCGGTCTTTTAGTAAGAGTTGGTTGAAGGTTTTAGTACAGAAGGTCAGCATATTGTATCACCATCTTACTATAATTCATGGGCATCACATCGGTTATTTTCCAACGTTATTTGTTCGTCTCAACGCATCTTTTCACTGCTTCACTCCAAGACTCTTTTGTTTGTGAATACGTGGTTGCCAAAACACTTCTAGCAGATTTGTTTGGTGCATTCTAGGATGGCACTACAGCACGATCGAGGCGAGAATTGGATAATCTTTACACTTCTCTCGAAATGTGTGTGCTCTCTTTGGTTGTTAGGATGATCATTTGCAAGTTCTTCTTTCCACCAACTTTGACCTTGGTTGACTACAAATATGCAACTAAGCAAAAATAGAGAGGTGTATTGAGCACTACAACAGTTCTTAAAAGATACTGCGTGTTGAGGAAGATGACTTCTCGTTTTCTGCTTGCTTGGTTCGAGCTTTTGGGTCTACTACTAACATGATAGCCACTTCTTTTGAATCTCAAGGTACAGTTTTCAAATGGGTTCTTTACTGGTGAAACTTTGGAGTAATTGGTCACATTTGGAAGAACTAAGGAGGATATGATGCTTGGTGATGGATAAAGTTTTACGACAACAGTTCTTATTTTGTTCGGTTTGAGTATGGCACTTGTTACGGCATGGTACGAGAGTTGCTACATGCAACATTGGTTGATAGAGGAGTAGTGCGAACTTGTATTTGGAGGATTGAATTTTCGACGTGTGAAATTGTGCACCCTCAAGAAATTACTGCTTGCTTACCAAGACAACAAATGTGCGATAGATATCGCGGGCGGTCGACTGTGGTATTGAAAACTTATTTGTTGGGTTCGTTGAGCAAGTGAGCAGAAAGATCTATCTACAGCAGCTGATACAGTTTTGGATTTGTTATTCTTGGGACTCGATCCAAAGACACATCTATTCTTGGAATACGTGAGGTTACGAATTCTTGGGCGACACCTTTTCTCATTTTTCAATCTTGGTTTTCAGTATAAGTATTTTAACTTCCTTTACTTTAGTTTTTTTTTTTTTCATTACAAATGTTTTGGGGAAGTATTTTTGTTTTCAGTTTTTAAGTTCAACTCGAGTTTTCGACCTATATGTTAGTACATATCTATTTTTGACGTTATAGTATCTTGCTACTTATTTTTGACCTTACTTCAATATATGTTTTCGACTTTATATCTTATTAAAGTATGTTTTCTACTTTTACACTGATGGGGAAGAAAGTAAGAGCTTTGAGGCATAATAGAGGATTTTGCAACCTGCTCGCGACGGTGTGGCATATTCTCTTTGATGCACCCACTCTGACTTGATTTCTCTTTATACATATATTCTCCTTACTATTTTCGAGTATTTCAGTTTAGTAAGTGATTTTAAATTTCGAGGACGAAATTCTTTTAAGGGGGATAGATGGTTACACCCACCCCTAATTTAAATTGTATTTTCACTAAGTTTGAGATTATCTTGCTTTTAAAATGGTTTTTGAGTCTTAAATGGTGTGCCCAAGGGGCCCACCCCCTATTTTGCCCCCCGGTTCCCTTTCCATTTTCTTTTATTTTTCTGAAAGTCTTCCTCTTTTCTCTCATCCCCCTCACTCTCTCTTTCTTCTTCTCCTTCACCGTGCCACACCCATAACCCAAATCCTAAAATCATCATCAAATCACAATTCCAACATCACCATCATCTTTATCTCATTGCTACGAACTCAACCATAGTCTTGGCATCTTGGAAGTTGAACCATAAAGCCCCGTACACGAGCTCCAACGTAAACCGCCCCTTTCGAGGAAAATTCCGGCCAAACCACAAAGAGTTGGCTGGCGTGCAAGGTATCAATCTCTTCGTATCGCTGAGAACTACAACTTTCCATTTTGTTTCACCCAATTTCGTTGAGTATTAAATAAGTTATACTCATTTGAATCTTACCCAGTTTCCGACGACCTCTGAGGCTTTTAAGGAATTTTCCGGTCAAACTATGGTCATTTAGACGTTGTGTGAGGTAACATTCTCTTCGTATCTTCGAGGGCTACAATTTCTGTTTTTGAATCACTTGATTTCGTTAAGTATTGACAAAATTATGAAGGTTTAAATTTCGTTCAGATTTCCGGCCTTCTTCTTCCTTAGGTCCGGCGACCCATCAAGCACAGGCCTTTTAGGCCACCTCAGAGACCATCGGGCCTTAGGCCCATTTCAGACCAAGCCCAAGTCCTTTTCTTTTATTTATTAATTGTTTTGGTTTAAATTATTAAGGGTCTTTGGACCTTATCTGTAAACCTAAAACCATTTCCAAATTAGGCCTTCGGGCCGTGAGGAGATTGGGCCTTTGGGCCCGTGTAGTTTAAACCCTAACCCAGCCCACCTATTTTTCCTAAACCCTAAACTCTAATTCTAAAACCCAAAAACCCAAATTCTAAACCCTTCTCCCTATTTTTCCCTTAAACCCATTTCCCATAAACCCTAAACCCTAAACCTTAAAGCCCTAAACCTAAACCCTAACCCTAAACCAGCCAACTAAGTTTGACCAAACCGATTGACCTATTGACTTTGACTTGTTGACTTTGACTTTGATCGGTCAACGATCAACGTTGACTTTTCAGGTTTTCGTCCAAGACCCTTCCTAGGCTAATTTCGACGTCCTAGACCCGTTTTTGAAGTCTGTTTTCCCAAATTCAATCGTTTGTGTAGAGTTTGACTAAATGTACCATTTATGTGCTTAGGGGCAATTATAGTGGCGTTTCTGTCTTCGCCAGTTGCATGGCTCTTCGGCGGTGAAGTACTATGAGTGGACCCCTTCTAAAAATGCATGTTTTGATAGTAGAAATGCATACATGAAAAGCATGATTTAACAATTATGTTTTATGAGATGCTTTGAGATAAGATGCTTACTGACGCTATTTTGAATTATTACTATTTTTCCTATAATCCATGTTCTTATAGAATATCCGATGGATGACGATATGATATTTAGAATATGTTTCGAAAACCTCTTTATAGTATAGATGATGGATGACTTTATACTATGAAGTTTCTTTTCAAGATATATATGTTCAGTGGTTTTGTACTTATCTAGTGGTCATTTCCGCTACGGGACGTAGGGATAGATTCCGGTCCATCCCGGGTGACGGTTTGATGTTGGCATAGGGCCTGGAGTGTGTTTCCTCTGGCTATTTAGCACAGGGACGGGGAGCCGGCATGTGGCCTGAAGTGTATTTTCCTCTGACTGTCTGCTCAGAGACGGGGAGCCGGCATAGGGCCTGGGGGTTATCGGACAATTCACTAGTAATTATTATATATACAAGTTATGATTTGAGACATTGCACGACATGCTAGGTTTCGGAAAACATATGTTTATCATTATAAATGTGTTTTCATAAAATATGGGGGTTAATACGTTGATAACTATTTTATTATATCTATATCAAATTGGTCCACTCATGTTTGTTTTGCGCCCCCTTCAGGACTGAGAATTGAGGCATACAATCCCAGCATCTAAGCACTTCCGCATCAGTATCTTCGAGTCCTCTCGGTGTAGGATCCATCCTTTGTTTCATTCTAATTTTATATTATTTCCTTTAGTGTTCTAGTTAGGTGTATGCTCTGAACACGTTCCTTAAATGCATATTCTTTATTCTTTTATATTTATAAACCTTATCTATTCCTTGTTCCCAGCATTTGCATTCAATAAATGGCTTTCGTCACCCTTGGGTGTCGGCCAGCACGTGCTTATCCTGGTATTTGGGGAATATCAGGATCGGGGCGTGTCAAACTCATTCCCAGGCCGAACATAAATGTCACCAAAGATGTCGATCTCTGAAAATTTTGAACCCTCCTAAAATCGAAAAAGATAAGAAAAATGTTAATATGAAAAAAAAAATTTATTAGCGTCATTTTAAAATTGGAAATGAAAGTTGTAATATATACCTTCCGTCGCGCCACCATCCTATAGGAGAAAGACCTCGAACCCAAATGGTGGAGAATAGTCTTCTTCTCTCGATTGATCTTGTTCGCCTTCGCATTCTTCTGTTATACAAAAAATAAACGTATTAGTTGTAATCGTTAAAGAAAATAAAAAAATTAATAATAAACATTATTAAAAAATAAAAAAAGTAAAATGAAAGAAGTCGTCATTAAAAACGCACCACATATGTCGGGTCCATAAAATGATCGCAAAGCCAAACCCAACTATCTTGTCGGTCCTCCAACTCCTTCGGACATCCCTCCTCAAGAGCGACCTGTGGATCATCAAACTCCTCGAACCATTGGTGCAAGTTACTCTTCCACTGCTTGTAGTGTTCGAAGAAGAGCCGATTGACATACGCGAACTTGTCCTCGTCCATGTGCTCCAAATTGTAGTTTGTCTGCAATATAACAAATATTTTGAAAGCATTAGTAATAAAAGACACTAATACATATAAATATATAAATTTTACATGAAAAGCATTAAAAAGCCGATGCTACTTACAGACAATTGATTGCGCATCGTAATCTTCGTCTCCTCTGGCATCGTCTTCCAAGACTTCCACAGCATAGGGCAAAAGTTCCGCACGACATGCCCAATGTCGTGGGCCAATGCACTATGCTGCTCTGCCGTTGGTGCTGCCCGATGTCGCTCATCGTATTCGATTGGGATACGATCGTTGGTCACCCAGGTGACCTTCCCCGTCTTCAATTGCCGACAAGGTCCCCGAGTGTTTTTCTTCACTGCAAAGGGATGAAAAAAAAATCATTAACCCATAACTAATAACAAATCCTAGTAAAATTTTGGCATGACCTCCCCTATAATAAAAACATTTCCCAAAACCCTTAAAATAACATAAACAATATACATATCCAACACAATGATCACAACAATTTAATAAAAGGTTCGGAATGATAACTTTTTAATCCTTACATAACATAATAAATTGAACCTAAAATAAAAAAACTTAGTAAACAAGGGAATGAGGGAGTGAATTAGGATTGTATACATGGCCGTGTACCAGAGGCATCGGTTGTGGATCCCGATGGCGACATCTGGTCCACAGTGTGGGGGCGTCGGTGAGTTCGTCTAGCGCTAATAGGTAACGCCACCAATGAAGTCAACGATGCCTGCGTTTGTGGGATTGGAGGACCATATGAGTGGACCGGATTGATCGGCCTATGGACCATCTTTGTCGGAGCATTGGCGGTAGTAGTAGGTATAGTCGTCAGACTAGGTGTAGCGGTCAGACTAGGTGTATAAGTCATCGACCTCCGGGTTCTGATGAGGTGAGACATCTACAAAATAGGCAATCAATTTGTTTAGTACACAAAGGTTTTGATTTTGTTTTCACATGCTTACAACTTCAATGGCTACAAAAGGATTGCTAATTGTTGATTTGATTTCAAATTAACTTGTTAACTGAAATAAACATATGGGAATTCCAGTCCATTGGCTGGTCAAAAGCATTTTCTGAATGCATATGGGTAGATTCAATGATTTTGGAGATGTAGAAATATGAAAATAATTGAAACATTCCTATCATAACAAAGTTCATGTGCTCTACGATTTGCAGCAAAAGAAGTTTGCTAATACCTCTCATGAAAATCTAATATATATATATATATATATATATATATATATATATATATATATATATATATATATAATCTAAACTATAATGGAGGAATTCAAATTACTGCGCAAAAAAAGAAAGATTAATATCAAAACGTAAATGTAACTTCAAAATTGGGAGGCCGAATTCAGCAAGCAACACAATCGAGTCTATCATATTAATAAGGCAACAACAAAGGGTAATACCCCATTATATATCAACAAATCGTGGCAGTCAACAATGCAAATCCTTAACCCTGTACTTAAATTAGAAAACCCCTAATTCGAACCCTGTACTTGAAATTAAAAAAAAAAAACCCCTAATTTAAGAACCCTAATCTAACCCCCAGTGAAGCACCCTAAATCTAACCCCCAATTTAAGAAAACCTAATCTAACCTCACTGCCCAAAATCGTTCCCCTAAGTTAAGACCTAAATCTAACCCCAATTAAGAACCCTAAAAACTCTAATTTAAGAACCTAAATGTAACCTCTAATTTACGAACCCTAAATCTAACCCCATGGCCCCCAATTTGAAAAAATAAAAACCCTAATTCTAACCCCCAGTCAATAAACAAAATTGAAACTAAAAACTGAAAGGGAAATTACCTATTGGAGAAAAAGAGGCGATGGACTGAGAGAGGGATGAAGAGACGAGGTGAGTGAAGGAGAGATGGACGAAGATAGAAAGGAAGGAAAGAGATGGTATCGCGCAGGGAAAAAAGGAAGAAGAGGGAAGTAAGGGAGGAACGAGACGCACGGGGGTTAATAATATAGAATATTATGCGATGGAGTGTTCGTCTTGCAAGGCTAAACAATCATCGCGCAAGTTTTTTAAAATTTCCCCCAAAAAAGCGCTTTAATTGAATTTTCAGACACGTGGGCGACGAATACATATACTTCGTCGCACAAAGTATATTTGCACGACCAAAAAAATTTTATGCGTCGTGCAATTGTGTTTTAAATTTTTTTTATTTATTTATTTTGTTTACAATTTATTATAAAATACAAACAAAACAACTTTATTTACAAAGTAATTCACATATAAAATGGGAATCATTCATACCATTTTTTCCATCACTCTATATAATGCATTAAACATTTCATGTGTTTTACAAAAAAATTACAAATAAATTGCCTTAATCTTAATCCGAACTATAATAACTTTCACTTTCGTCGTTATCATCATTTTCAGTGTCTCATTCCTTATCATCGATAGGTACGTCACCATCGTTGTTCGTGCGTACTGGACCATCGTATCGTGGAATATTACCGAGGTCAATCGTGATGGACTGAATCGGTATTTCGATTGAAGATACTCCATCTATCTGAAATGGTTCTTGGATAAGATTAGTATCTCGAAGTGTTTCCGCACCACTTTCCATGAAAGATTCAAGACGTTGGTCAGCAACATTGTTAATGTCGTCGTCAGTACGATCTTTTTCTGGTATAGCATACACGTTCCTATGATCCATCTTCTGAACAACTTTCCAACCCTTCCCGGATTTAAGGCCATCAAGATACACAATTTGTTTTGCCATGGTTGCTAATATGTAAGGGTCATCATCGTACCAAGTTTTGGTAGTGTTCACTGATAGTAATCCATGATCTGTTTTCACACTTCCATGCCTATTTGGGTGTATCAAACCATCCACACTTAAATAGGATCACTTGGCACCGGTCTTTATAAAGAAATTGCACGACACTTGTTAGTTTACCATAGAATTCAATGTCTGTACTTTCACCTCCTCCGGGGACATGAACACTACTGTTTTGTGTACACAACTTGTCATCTCGTGCACCGCTAAGAACTTGACTCCGTTGACATGGCAGCCCGAGTACAATTCAACGCGAATTGGTCCGAACGCTAAGTTATATAACTCTTCACTGTACACAGGGGAATTCGATGCTTTCAATTGGTTTACCTAATATTAGACAAACATTTAAATTTGTTAGTTTAAGCAACTTAATTGGTACAATATATATGTCCAATACAAAACACTTCAAACTTACATATTCGAGAAACAACTGCGGAAACAATTCACGGTGTTTCTTGGCATACAAATGTGAAGGATGTGTCTGCTTCATCATATTTTCATGCTCGTCTAAGTGTGATAGTGTCTCGTCACAATTTTTGAGTACGAACCAATGTGCTACATCCATGTCCTTCTTGGAAAACGACTCTCCACAAATCGGATCTCCGAATGGTCGAGAGACCTGGGCAAAAACTGAAAGTTTCTCCTTTCTCACACCCCTGTCATTATTGCGAGAAGGACGATTGAAAGTTGTCTCAACGTCTTTTACATACATTCCACAAAATGTCAGTGCCTCGTATGACACCCAAGCTTGTATAATGGATCCTTCGGGCTTCGCTTTGTTTCGTACACTTTTCTTCAAGTCTCTGAGAAGCCTGCCAAAAGAAAATGATACGATACACATATTACTAATCGTAATTTATTTAATATCGATTAATAAAAAGATGAGGAATATATACCTTTCTATTATATACATCCATTGAAAGTTGACTGGTCCAGCAAGCAATGCCTCCTCTAGTAAGTGAACCATCACGTGTATCATACTTGTGAAGAAGGCTAGAGGAAATATCATCTCAAACTTGCATAGAATTTGCACAATGTCATGGCGCAACTGATTAATGTCCATTCTTCGTAATGTTCTTGACGTCAATTGCGAAAAAAAACTGGACAACAACATGATTGGTTTCACTACATCAGGTGGCAAGAGATGTCGAATACCCACAGGAAGTAGGTGTTGCAGAACCACATGGCAGTCATAACTCTTTAAGCCAGCTAATTTACCCCCGTCAACGTTCACGCAACGCGCGATATTTGAAGCATACCCATCGGGAAACTTTACAGACGATAAAAACTTTAAAAATTCTTTCTTGTCATTCGGTTTCATTGAAAAAAATGCAAGATCCCTTCTAGCTTTATCATTGTCCCTATTCATCCATAAACCCCATCGCATTCCCATTCGTTCCAAATCAAGATGAGCTTTGATCGTGTCCTTTATCTCGCATTCAATGTCTAGAATTGTGCCGACCAATGTGTCAAATACATTTTTCTCAACATGCATAACATCGAGGTTGTGTCTGAATTTTAGTTTAGACCAATACGGGAGCTTAAAAAACATAGACTTGTGCGTCCAGTTCATGTGTGTAGCATGTCTTGTCCTAGTGACATTGGTCCCGAAAGGAGCAAAATCCAAACGGTTAAGCTGTTTCAAAATTTGAGCACCGGACCATTCTCTGGGTCTGAGGCGATGCTCTCTCTCCCCGTCAAACTCTTTATCCTTCTCTCGCCACTCGTGGTCCCAAGGCAACCATCTTCGATGACCAAGGTAACAAACTTTTCCAGCGTGCCAACTAGATGTTACGTCTTCCTTGCATACAGGGCATGCCATATAACCCCTAGTGCTCCACTCGGAAACCATTACATATGTAAAGAAATCGTTCACAGTCCACATCACTGCAGCCCGCAAAGTGAACATCTTGCCAGTACATTTATCGTATGTGCGCACACCGTGTGTCCATAAATCTTTTAGCTCATCCACCAACGGCCGTAAGTATATATCGATTAACCTACCAGGATCCTCAGTTATCAATAAAGTCCTCATCATGTATTCTTTTTTCATACATTTCCATGGTGGCAAATTATACGGAAATACGAAAATCGGCCAAGTACTGTGGTGTTGGTTTAAAACCCCAAACGGATTAAATCCGTCAGTGGCAAGTCCCAATCTAACGTTACGAGAATCAGCAGCAAACTTGAGGAACGTTCGATCGAACTCTTTCCATGCCTCCCCATCTGCAGGATGTCGCATCACATCGTCATCTACCCGTTTTTCTTTATGCCATCTCATGTCTGTGGCAGTATGCGACAACATATACAACCGCTGCAACCTAGGTTTCAGGGTCAGATAACGCATGACTTTTTGTGAGATCTTAGTGGTTCTATTATGAGATGTCATTTTGAACATCGACTCATTGCATATAGGGCATTTATCCAATGTTTTATACTCTTCATAGAATAAAATACAATTGTTTTTGCAAGCATGAATTTTTTCATAACCCAATCCAAGACCTTTCAACACCTTTTGCGTGTCTCTATGGTCTTTCGGCAAACAATTGTCCTTCAGAAGCATTCTCTTGAAAACCCCCAAAAAGTAATCAAAACACTGGTTCAACATACGATGCTTTATTTTTCCATGCATCGGTTCCACAATGGCCGTGAAAACGGAAAAGCTTTCGCACCTCGAGTATAGCTCTTGGTTGGTATTTTTTAATAGTTTTTCATATTGTTCGAACTCTGCACTGTCCATTGGTGTAGGCACGTCATCTTCCCCTTCGTGATTGGTGTTTGTCGATGCAAATGGAAAAGCATCATTTATAATATCCATGACTTGTTCATTAGGATCGACAATAGGTTCAACATTATCCATTCTTGTGGCATTTGAAGATGAAGCATTGTCTAATTGTTCCCCATGATGGTTCCAAGTATTATATGTCTCAATCATTCCATTCCTTACTAAATGAAATTGAACATTTTCTATTATCTCCCTTAACATGTTGTTACACCTCCTACAAGGACATCGGATTCTAGTTGCACCCGGGTTGTGTGTACTTGCAAAGTCAATAAAATCCTCGATTCCATCCAAGTATTCGTCCACGCATCTATTCGGGTTCTGTATCCACGTCCTGTCCATAATTCCTGGAACCACAATAACAATATAACAATCACAACAACTTCAAACAAACTGATAATATCACCTTATGCCTTCGGTAGAGGCTCTATCCCATTCGGGAATGCATAGTTATGTCACGTAATTTACAGCTACATCAGATTAGATTTCGACGTGGATGAATTTCGACAGGATCTCGATACAGTTCTTCAGGTGTACGACCCGAAGAACGTACAGAGATGATACCGAAACCTAATCCTTCAACCATAAACTACGCGTCATAACTGTGCATTCCCAAACTATCCAAATAATGGGACAATTCAAGAATTAATTGGACCGCAGTCATATTTTCGCATCCATGCGCGAAATCCAACTAATCCTTAAACGGGAAACTAAGTTTTACTAAAAATAAAAAATAAGTACGAAGTTAATTTCAATTAACTTCGTACATCACAACACATATTTGTACGTCAAGTACAAATTTAACAATATAATTTCATAGCACAATATAAACATAACACTAAGTTCAACATAATTTAATTAATGGTGTATGTTTAAAAAATAAAACAAAGAAATTACCTTCTCAATCGTTATCCACCAATCACTAATCACACACAATATCCCTATAGAGAACGAAATTAATGGCGTTAGTATGAATTTACATTAATACTTTTACCGTAACGACAAAAAACACTTACCGGACACACCGAGATAGCTCGATCAACCTAGGGAAGATGGAGGGAGTAGTTTAGATGATGAAATTGGGAGAAAATGAAAATGACGGATACCAGATTCAGCTAAATCGTAGGGATGAGTGCAGATGTGACAGCCCGTCCCTGATTTTAAGAATTTTAAAGTTTTAATAAAGGATTTTACAAAAATGCCCTTTGAGGCACGCGCATTATTCGAGATTAATCGTTGTGTCGTGCCATCTAAGATTTATTTTCTTGACATATCCTCGTAGTACTCGTCGCTACGGACGTGTGGGCGCTGACGGTTCGTTATTTGGAGTTATAACGAAAAAGATTTCAAGTTTGAAGTTTGAGCATTTTATAAATTTTATTATTAAAATTTGGATGGCCCAGATTTAATGAAGAATTAAATGGATGGCTGGGATGAGAGAAGAAGGTTTGTTTGTGTGTGCGCGTAAGAAGAAGAAGAAGAATGAGGATTGGGCAGTCAGGAAGACAGAAGAAAGGAAAAAAAAAATGGGATTGGGCAAAACTGCCCAATCTGAAAGAAGAAGGAGGGGACGAATCAAGAAAAGAGAGATGGAGAGGATGGCCAATCGGAATAGGGGAAAGGAGGAAAGGAGAGAGGGCGAGAAGTGGAGGAAGAACAACAGAAATGGGTTTTCAACCCATGACCCGCGCGGCGACCCGCTCCCGCAATGCCATTTTCCGACGGTTTTCAGTCCAAATTTCTGGTCTTCTTCAACCTCCCATCAACCCCAAACATCTTCAAGACATCCTAGAATCCTAATTGACCCAACAATCAATGAATTTCGTGGTGATTTCGCAAAGAACACCCACACGGGTGCCGCGACTTTCTTGTTCAAAATTTGCCCAATCCCGAAGCAATTTCTTTCAATTGCCACCACCCATACACTTCTCTTGAGGCCTAGAACAAAGCCCAAGAATTGGTTGGGACGACGGAGTTGATTTGAAGACGTATTGGAACTCACCCAATTCTAGGGTCCGCACGGATTTTGGTGAAATTGAAGTGTTTCCAGGCAAAATTGGCCTTGGCCTCAGGTATAAAGTTTACTCTACTAATTGAGATCTTCAATTTTGTATTTTTTGAGAATTTTTGGAAATAGTTGGATTTTCCGGCGAGCCGGGGCGGCCCGTGCGGCGGCACGTGGCCAATGGCCCGCCAATGTCATTCTTAGCATGTGTTTAAGGTTCTAGGTTCAGTTTTGATATTTGATGGACGTAAATTGAGTAATTGAACCTAAGTTCGTTTCGATTCGTGGTTAGGTGAAAATGTGAATTGACGATCCGACCGTCGAATCGTCACCAAACGTTGATACGTTGTAATACGTAATATTTGAGGATTATAGGAACTTACGGATCGGGAATCTGACTTACGGATCTTTCGTAATTGGAGTTGTAAGTTCATAAAATAGAATGTTAACCATCACTTGATTTTGACAATTGACGGAGATCCGACCGTTGGATGGTAATGAAATTTTAGGATGTTGTCCTAGAGGTATATTGTGAACCTCTGGAAGTTATGGATTTGAAATCTGAGTTGCAGATCTTCCGGATTGAACTACGTAGTGACGTGTTTTATATAAGTTATATATTCTATCGATATGATTTCTGAGGTTGGATTTGATTATTGTTCTAGGCGCCGATCGTCATGACACATTGATGTGTGGTGCTAGGGAGTTGTTGGGCGAACTCTAGGTGAGTGGGCAGTATTTCTGTTTATACCTATATACTATTGATATTTTTCCCAGAAATTGAGTTTAAATGAAAGTACGTTTTAAAATGCCATGCATGCATATTATGAATTATATGATTTGGTATATGATGCATATATGTGAAATGGTGTTGTGGACGCACATGTGAGTATCAGGTGAGGTTTATGTTGTTCATGTGATTTATTGATGATGTGAATTGTGTTGAGAGCTCACAACCTGCACCCCCGGTGTTAGTGCTTATGTTATTCACCCTGCATCACACGCTCACCTTGGATCCAAGTAGATGCTAGTCGTACAGACCACTAGAGGTTGTTCCGACATGCCAGTCGTACAGACCATTAGAGGGGTTCCGACTTGTAGGTGACTTTAGATTATGTGCACAGATGATTGATGAGAGAAGCACTAGAGCGTATTATTTCACCATCTTAGTCGTACAGACTACTATAGGTTTCCGACTTATGTGTAGTGTAGTGCCGTACAGGTCACAGTTGGTGACTCCGGCTGGATGGGATATTGAGCTATAGAATCAGCCGTACAGGACCACTATAGGGTCTCCGGTTGATTTATTATTTCACCTGATTTATATTGATGCATTCATATTATATTTTGGCATATGGCATGGCATGGCATATTCTTTCTGAAAAGCGTTGAAGGATTGTGATTTGAGCTTTTGATGATATATATATGTTTATATACTTTTTTTCTGGGAAAGTATACAAGTTTTACGGCGAGGGGTTAGAAATTTTTTAAAGGAGTAATTAGGTTGTTATCCTTATTTTTACTACTCTATTGATTAAAACCTTATTACTTTTCAATTTTTGATCAAAGTCCTTTGTATTAATAATATCATTAATTATTTCAATAATAAAATATTTTTTATTTCTAAATATATTGATTTAATATTAAAAATGTTACAATTAGTATATTTATATTTATGGCTAAATTTTTTATCATATATTTTTATTTTTAGTTTGTACCCATTTTTAATTTGCAACCCTTTTTTAATTTGTACCAATTTTCCTTTCAATTTTAATTTGTACCCATATATTAATTTCTTTTTGTGCCCATATTTTTTACAGTTTTATTTGTATTGTACCCATATTTTTTTATTTATTTGTACCCATTTTTATTTTTGCTAAATGTACCCATTTTGAAGAATGTACCCATGTTTTGATACAATCATTTTTTGGTTATTTTTTTATGAATGTACCCATGTTTACACACACACACAATAGTATATTTATATTTTAATATTTTTAATCCCACAAATTATGTTTTTTATTTAAAATCTCATTACTATAAACAACTATAAATTTTAATTTTTAATTTAAAAAATATAGTAACGTACATAGAAATAAATTATCAATTAATTTTAGGGACTTGGATCAAAAATTGAAAATCAACAAAGTTTCAGTCAAAGATTGTTCATAACTAGGGACCGCATCCAAAGTCTCCCTTTTTTAAATGAAATGTTTTCGAAAAACTTTGTTTTATTGACCCACTCAATTTTGTTTTGTGCCCCTCCAGGTTCTAGATAGCAGAGCTTTGGTGGCCACGAGGAATCCAATGGTGTTCTGACAGAATTCACAAAAGTATGACTCACCCTCGGGTGTTTCATCTTAATAATTGTATTTTTAAAGCTTCTGAACTATGTAAATGGTTACGTCACTCTCACGTGACGGCCAGCATACCCTCCTTCGGGGCGGGGTGTGTCAGTTGGTATCAGAGCCTAGGTTGCAATTTTGGACATCTTGCGAATTTCCTAGTGTCTTCTGTCAGAACTATATCGCCTCGTAGCGAGCCACGTAGTTCGGATGAG